ACATCAAAATGTTTTACTTTGCAGACAGTGACCTTGGTTGCCACCACTATCCTCAGGCTTCCCTCTTATTTATTCATTTCTTTGATTTTTATCCCGCCCATCTGGTCTAGTTGACCACTCTGGGCGGCTTCCAAAGAGGTACATACAATAAAACATACAACCAAACACATACAGTAATAAAATGAATATTAAATGAAGGAAAGAAGAAAAAAGAGAAAAGGAAAAAAAAGAATTAGATATTGACAGGAGTTGGGTCTTAAAAGTGCCCAGCGTAGGGGCCGCGCGAATCGCCAGAGGAAGGTTATTTCAGAGGCAAGGAGCCACCGCCGAGAAGGCCCGATTTCGAGTCTGTTCCTTCCGGGCCTCCCTTGGCATTAGGCTCCTCTTTCCTTTGAGCTTGGCTGTGTCCTTCATAGTCATTGTGAGTGGAGTGTGAATGGATTTTCCAAGCAGTAATGCACTGTTATGAGCTATCCCTAATGTAGAGTGGTCGGAAGACCAGATGGGCGGGGTATAAATCAAATAATAAATAAATAAAAATAAATAAACTTATGTGTCTTCAGTGCTCTCTGATGACCAAGCCATCCCAATACATAACTATTTCCCTCAAAGGCTTGGAAAGAGCTGGTAGTCTGTCTCCTGAGCATGGAATATGAAGCCCTATCTTAAAGTAAGACACATCTAAGGCAGATAGGCACTGTGTTTACTAAGAAAATGAGATACAGTAGTATTTTTTTCCGGCATTCATGAGACCGTTTGATTCAAGACTGACAAAAGGAATGGTGGGAAAGACAGCTAGGCAGAACATTCCTTAAAGCAGGTGGTCCATGGCAGTGGCAAACCTACATTTGGGGGCTGTGATGTCTGAACTATTATGGGGGCCCCTTCACAACCAGCAACAAGCTCTGGGTAATCACTGTTACCTTCTTAATAGGGTTATTCCATGACAAATCACCACATTTTAAAAATGTGGACAATTTTTTTTAAAAAAGTGGACTAAAGTCACTTCTGGGGCCCTTCTGGGATTAGAGACCGTGAAGCTTAAGCTCATTAGTTTCATAGTACATCCACCCTGGTTCTTGTGAAGATAAGTAACTCTCTGCACATATGGGATATATACAGTAATCAAATGGATTCTATACTTGGCAATTGTACCAGAGTCAACAAAGATAAATTTGGCAGCAAGTCTGATAGGTAAGGAAAGATCTGGTGCCTCTTCCCATACTGTACTGTAGCCCAACTGAGAGCCAGCCACAATTGCTCATAAAATATTATACAAAATCTTTCTCTTTTCAGGTTTTGCATGGAGACTTACTTGGGAAAAGATGTTCTGAGGGAGGATCTGGTGGGCTGGACAGATGACATTGGAGTCAACCATTAGAGTCATTGAGGGAGCTTCAACAATTGGAGCTCCAAGAGTGTGTACCTGTTTAACAAGATACTAGCCAATATGCAACAAGCACAATATATGCAATCTATAAAACAGAGACCCCTCAGTCTGAATCTCTCCATCTTCAACAGATTTCAAAAGAGGAAACTAGAATTGGATGTTTCTCTCAAAGCAAGCCTAGGGTGTCCCCAGAAACATAATGTAGGTGGATTTAATTACACCAGAATCCTCCATCTGGCTCAGGTTGGAGTTTGTCTTCAAGCTCTCTTGGAAGAAACGGATGCCCTGGATCCATTTCAGTCGGGCTTTAGGCCGCGCCACGGAACAGAGACGGCATTAGTTGCCCTGTACGATGACCTATTGAGGGAGGCTGACAGGGGAAAAACTTCTCTGTTAGTCCTTCTCGACATCTCGGCGGCCTTTGATACCGTCGACCACGGTATCCTCCTGGGGAGGCTCTCCGAGCTGGGAATTGGTGGCCTGGCGCTTGCGATTGTCTCGGCCCCGTGGAATCTCAATTGTGGGGTTCCACAGGGGTCGATTATCTCCCCAATGCTATTTAATATCTATATGAGGCCGCTGGATGGGGTCATCAGGGGATGTGGGGCATCGTGTCAACAGTATGCTGATGACACACAGCTCTACGTCTCCTTCCCACCAACTGCAGGTGATGCCGTTCTGCCCCTCCAGCACTGCCTGGGGGATGTACTGCAATGGATGCAGGAAAATGGGCTGAGGCTGAACCCGGAGAAGACGGAGGTTCTGAGGGTGGGCGCCGCCACCATCGGAGGTTTGGGTGACTCCCTCTCGTTTGGGGGGGTGACCCTTGCCGCAAAGAGTGGGGTCCGCAGCATGGGGATCCATCTGGACCCGGCGCTCACCTTGGAGACTCAGGTGGCGTCGGTGGTCCACACCGCCTTTTTCCATCTTTGGCGGATAGCCCGGCTGCGACCTTATTTTGATGTGGGGGTGCTCGTAATCTTGAGATTAGACTACTGTAATGCACTCTACATGGGGCTACCTTTGAAGTTGACGCGGAAACTCCAAGTGGTGCAAAATGCGGCAGCCAGACTCCTTAGCGGAGCAAAAAAATACCACCATATTTCTCCTATTTTGGCCGCGCTGCATTGGCTGCCCATTCGGTTCCGCGTTGACTTCAAAGTTCTGATGCTTACGTTTAAAGCCCTAAACGGTTTAGGGCCTCGATACTTGGTGGAACACTTACTCCCACCCAGTTCTACCCGTGTCACCTGTGCGAGTCAGGAGGTGAAGCTGAGGCGGCTGACGCTGAGGGAGGCCCGGAAGGAAAAAATAAGAAACCGGGCCTTCTCGGCTGTGGCTCCTCGTCTCTGGAACAACTTACCTCCTGAGATTCACGCAGCTCCCTCGCTGGGTATTTTTAAGAAACAACTGAAAACATGGATGTTCAGGCAGACCTTCCCCCTTTCCAGCTAATACCTAATTATTCTTTTTTCTTTCTACTGTAATATACCCTGTTCTCGCCAACTTTGGGGAAAAAATTATTTTATCTTTTATTTATGGAAATTATGTTATGTGATATGTGATATGTTATATGTTTAATTTTTATAGTGTGTGTTGTAAGCCGCCTAGAGTAGTCAAAATTGACTAGATAGGCGGGGTATAAATGAAATAAATAAATAAATAAATTTGTCAAAACTACTTATTTGGACCATTGTTTCCAGAACAACCCTCACAAGTATATTCACTAGTGATGCTGGCAGAAGGATTCTGGGAGTTGTAGTTCAGAAACTTTCCCAAACTCTGGAAAGTCACATTGCCAGTCTCTGAGTCTGGAAATTCCAGCTTAGAAGCCTGAATGAAAGCATAATTACCTTCCATGCTTATGCTCCACTGCAGACAATGACTAGTAAAGCAAGCTGGTGTTGTTGTGGTTCTGTGCTGTCAAGTTGGAACCGACTTACAATGACCCTAAGTGAGATATTTAAGGAGTGGTTTTACCAGTTCCACAGCCCCAGTCAGTTTCCATGGCTGAGCGGGAATTCAAACTCTTTTTTCTAGCATCCTAGTTCATCATTCTATCCATTACTCCACACTGGGGATTAAAGCAAGTTAGTCCCTTCTAATTGAGGTAATCCTCTGAATGAAGGTACTGTAGATCTAACTGCCCAAATGGAGTTACATCTCCATTTAAAACTCAGTCTGGATCATTTAGTGCCAAAGAAACATTTGCCCTCTATTTCTTATGACATCCGTCTTAAGACGAATATGGAGTTGTCTGTGGTGCTATTTGAACACTGCACTCTAATCCTTGCCAGACTGAGACTTAGTTGTAGCTCGCCTTGTCCACCCTGCAAATTCCTTTAGTATGTTTTCTCCAATGCATAAAGTGACTAAGTTGGAGGCTGCTCTATACAATTTCTCATTAGACTAATCCCAGATTAAGAAAAAAACATGTGATAAGCCATATATAAAGAGGTATCTGAAAATCACATGCATAGTGCGCATGGTATCATCACCATCATCTTAGAACTGTAGAGCTAGAATGGATCCTATGGCTCATCAAGTCCAGCCTTTGTCAAGGAGGCTCTGGCCTCTGCAACATCTAAACCACTGAGCTATCCAGCAGTTCATATATATTTTATAGGTACTGTACTAAAATACACCTCCAATGTATTAGAACTGCGCAGCATCAGTTAGGGAAATATATTTTAAAAGAGAGACAAAAATAGAAGTGGCTACCAGAAAGGAGCAGGGCACTTTGTAAAAGGGGCAGGATGGATCCCTCTTATTGAAAGCACCTATGGTTGCCAGAAAAGACGGTGAGCCAAACTGTATGAAAAGCGAACCAAATAGTCAGCTATATGCCTGTCTAATTGTCCTCTTGGCTGATATTCAAACATTGTAGTGAAAGACATGCAATGCTTTCTGCCAATGCAGGAAAACCACACTTTAAAGCATTTCTGACGGGTAGCCATCCAATTTCTGCTTCAAGATCACCACTCTCCGAGGCAGTCATTTCCATTGTGAAATGGCTCTCACTGTTAGGAAGTTCTTCCTAAAATTTTAGTTGAAATCTCCTTTCAGGTTTGGTTTCTCTTAGTTTCTCTTTTCCTGATCTTAAATGTCGCTTTTACTGAACTTTAATAAATTTTCCAACCTTAACATCAGCTCCTATCACAATTCCAGATTCTTCAGATTTCTAGAGAGAACTATAGCATGTCTCTTCCTGGAAGTCCACAAAATGTGAAAATATTATCTTTACCCTTCTGCTGATTTTAGAATGTCCTTTTGGATCTGATGTAGCAAAAAGGCATAGATGACGTGGTGGTCTGATTTTTTTTCCATGCATATAGCTGGGCACACTGTCATCATGGGGTTATCATCTTGGCTTAAACAGAAAGAAAAGAAGGCTAACAGTGAGAAAGGGGAGAAATGGTTTACTTTGTCAGCATCTTGTTGGGAAATTCTTCTCCCTGTCTGCTCCAAAGAAAATCCCGGAAAAAAAACATTGGGAACAAGAGGAGCCTGCCTCGCTGAATCATGCCTCCTCACCTTTCCTGTCTGTCTGGATCGAGCATTTAACTTTAAAGCAGACACCTCTTCCTCAATACAACTTTGTATCTCCCAGAACATCTGAAAGAGAAGACAGCGAAGCGGGAAGTGACACTGCAACAGAACTGTTCTTGCTGCTTTTCACATTGGCTGACATCTCAGAAGTTTCTGCCATCATCCAAAGAAGTCCTTCCTTGGTCCAGATCGCAGTCCCTTCCAAACCCAGGTATGTACAAGCAGGTCATGTTTGTCACTCATGCTTTGTAGAATCAGGAAAGCCATCGCGCTATAGAACTGTGGAACAACATGAAAGAAAGCAATTCAGGCAGTGGCAGATAGTACAGTACAACTAAAGGTGGTATAGTGTAATGACAATAAGAGTGAGTTACATTTTAAGATGGAGTTGGTACTGGCCATAATGTAGCTGTTAATCCCACCTAGAGTAGACTCGATGAATCAACTGCTGAATGACGAGTTAACATATACGGTACGTTCCATTGATTAAATTGCTCCATTGTATTTGGGACTACCCGATGGATTAGGGAAAGGCATGTAGGAAACAGCCAATTCCTCAGCAACAGAGGAAATGGTGATTTCAGCCATCCCAGACCTTTAGCACCTCAGCAAACCACCACACTTCATTGACTGGCAAGGCCAGCCCTAGTAATAATAGTTTCAAGTTAAAGAAAAATAGGTGCTTTGGAATGAACAGTGCAATCTTGGATACGTTTCATTCAGAATTATGCCCATCCCATCACTTTGTTTAAGGGGCTTACTTGAAATAGTTGTGTGTAAGTTTATAGCTTAAATGAGTGCTCTAGTTTTGCCAAATATCTTGTTTGAAATAAGTCAAGAACTAGCCTGTGATTATGCAGAGTAAAACTGTGCCCCAAGCTGCTGATTTTGAGTGTCATGAGAGGTCAGCAATTTGTAGGTTATTTAACTTATTGTTTTTTATTTTTTTGCCCAGTCAAAGATGGATGTGTTTTTGCCTCTGGAAACAGAATAACTGGCCAGCCTTGTGTACCTTGAGCTTTGGCACTAGGGGTCATGGTGGTGTTGATGTTTAGTGATTTGTTCAGCTAGCAAGACATCTTGGGCTGCTGTTGGTAAATTAACACATATTTTAATGACCATTTCAGAAAGCCACAATTCATTCAATAAAGTCATTCATTCATTCAAAGCCACAATCCCAATAACATTATCTATATAATTTTACAAATACTATACTGTTCTAAAAGAACAGCTTCCACTGCATATTAATTCTAGAACCTTCTTGGTTTTACAAGTTTATGACCTCTATTGTTTTTAACTTTGTATTACTTCTCCACCTCTATTGTTTTTAACTTTGTATTACTTCCCCACCTCTATTGTTTTTAACTTTGTATTACTTCTCCACTTCTATTGTTTTTAACTTTGTATTACTTCTCCACCTCTATTGTTTTTAACTTTGTATTACTTCCCCACCTCTATTGTTTTTAACTTTGTATTACTTCTCCACCTCTATTGTTTTTAAGTTTGTATTACTTCTCCACCTCTATTGTTTTTAACTTTGTATTACTCCCCCACCTCTATTGTTTTTAACTTTGTATTACTTCCCCACTTCTATTGTTTTTAACTTTGTATTACTTCCCCACCTCTATTGTTTTTAACTTTGTATTACTTCTCCAGCATCAACATACTGTATTTCTGCATATACATGATGACTCACATTAGTTATTCTTTTACAGCATTCACTGCTGCCATGAATACAGCACTTGTGAGGCGTACAATTGCTATAGCATTAAACAAAAATTTAGTGGTGTGAGTATACACCTGAAAAAGACATCTATGAAGTTAAAATGTTTGTATCTTCTTTAATCATCAAAAGCTATACTAATATATAGTATCATACGTGTCCTAGTTTTGGATTGTAGATGAATTTAGCAAACATTGGGATACACAGTGAGAACCGATGGACTATACTTAGATGTAATCAGAAGCACGAGTTTGCAGTGGTTGTTCTTAATTTTCGCAGTAGACAAACAAACCAAGGCATGGTTAGCATGCCAACTGATTCCAGTGATGACATGAAATGAGAAGGAATAGTAGATATTTTAGAGGACAGAAGAAAAGTATTCACATAAACCAATTAGGGGTGGTAGGGATGAAGGTCAAATTAAATTCCAGATCAACTAATGTAAAACGTATTTACAATGTACAGTATTTACAATGATGATCAACTGGCTAGGTAGATGATCTTTTTTAAAGGATTCTGTAATAGCAGCAGACAATGAAATGAATGTGAATCAGTGATGCCATTCAAAGCTGTATAACAAAAGCATCAGCTCGGAAAGCAGTGTTGCATCACTCAGCCATTAAGTACCAGTAAGAACCCTCTTGGACTCAATGCTCGGTCCTGAGCATTGTAATACAGAAAAAAAAAATGTTGCGAGATGAATTCATACACTTGCTTAAAATACTGTACAATATACTCATAGCACTTGTCCACAATGTATGACACAGCTTCAATGAAAGCTATTATAAGTACAATGTAGCACTAGTAAGAAAAATCATGAACAATGCCCAAGTAGGTCTGTCAACAGCGAATCCATGCTTTACTCCTCTCAGCAGTTTGTGTAGTTTATCCAATATGTTATTAGTATAGATTAGATCAGCAATTCTAGTAAGGACTTCTGTCGTCAGGTAAACTGTCCAGAGGAACCCAAGGAGTCTCTACACACCACACAATTAATGATCCTTTCATCATCAGCTGACTTATTAGTACATCTCTGCCTTGGAAACAGATCCCCACCTTTTTGTCTCAAAACTGTGATGCTTTTCCAACCACTGCTGCTTTGATACACCCTGCCCTCTGGGCATCTATGCAAGATAATGGCAACAGGAGCATTCTGATCTGTATGTAGATTGTTCATTTCACCTTCCTGCTGGTGTGCATGCTGTCTGTTCTTGATCTGCATACTGTTTCTTCAGGCATGCTGGACAATCTTTTCTACATTCTCATGATCATGGCACTTACTGTTCTTTTTCAAAGAGCACCTGTGTTGGTCTGTGGGCGCCAAAACAAGGAAGAGTCTCATAGCACCTTAAAGACCCAGCAGCAAGTTTTATTTGGCATCAACATTCATGGGCTGGAGTCCATGAAACCTTATGCCAAATAGAACTGGATAGTATTTACAGTATGAATCGCCACAGGGTTCTTTGTTGTTTTTCAGTGAGTTGGAGCACCTGGCTGTGGAGCCAGGGTTCAGGAGTCTAATTCCCTGGGAGAAGAGCGAGTCTGTGTGGATTTGGCCAAGCTGCTTGCTCCCTGGGCACTACCAGGAGGAGGAACTGGGAAACCACTTCTGAATATTGCATATCTGTGAAATGCTGGGAAAGGTCAGCATAAGCAGAATCAACTTGATGACTCATAATTAACAACTATCACGACTATTACTTCTACCAAACTAGTACTCCTTGTTTTAATAACTCACACAATATCATCAATCTGTGAAGCACGTTATATGGCAGGGAGGTAGGCTCATAATCATGATCGTCCCTTTCTCACCTGTGACTTTCTGAACATTTTTCTTTTATAGCTGCATGCTAAATATTTAGAACAGTGGTTCCCAACCTTGGGTCCCCAGATGTTCTTGGACTACAGCTCCCAGAAATCCTGGCCAGCACAGCTAGTGGTGAAGACTTCTAGGAGTTTTAGTCCAAGAACATCTGGGGAGCCAAGGTTGAGAACCAGTAGTTTAGATTATGTATAGGAAGGCGTAGGTCCATACCAATGCTCGTTTCTCTCTGTGTGCCTTTCACTGGTGTACACCTATTGTTTAACTCAACACTGCCCCAGCTCCTGGCTCAGCATGTAATCTGGGGAGTTCTTTACAAGCGTCCTTGTTTCTGTGCTTTGAACTTTATTCTGTTTGCCATTCTGATCTTGCTCCTTTTTCTCAATCTTTCAAAACAGCACTATGTGGAACACTAAACAACAAGAAGGTCTTCAGGGGACTGACAATAGTTTTTCAGAACCTTTCAGAAAATACAAGAGATGCTCTATTGTTTGTGGTGTGTACCATCACCTCTGGAAATACAGTTAGCAAGCTTTTGTAGCATTTCAAAACCTCGCCAAACTTGTCCACTTGTAGCTAACACTGGTACATTAACAGCAATTCTGCATTTACCAAGTTACTGTGGTCTTCAGGGGACTGACAATAGTTTTTCAAAACCTTTCAGAAAATACGAGAGACACTCTATTGTTTGTGGTGTGTACACTTATTCCACCATCACCTCTGGAAATCACAGTTAGCAAGCTTTTGTAACATTTCTAAACCTCTCCAAACTTGTTCAGTTGTAGCTAACACTGGTACAATAACAGCAATTCTGCATTTACTGAGTTACTACCAATTCTCTTATACATGGTTGCCTGTTTTTGGCCTTCATTGCTTCTTGGCTGAGACTCTGTCCTAATCTGAGCTCAATTAGGGAGATTCATTAAGCGGGAGGACACACAAAGCCAGCCTCATTGAATCCAGCAGCTCTTAGAGAGGCAGACTCCCTTATACAGCATGCATACCCTGGCTTTAAAACCAATGACCTGTGTTTGTCGTACCATATACAGTATTACATTCCAGCTTTGCTTTGTGATTGGTCATTGGAAGATATACACTGGCTTAATGTCTAATTGCCAGGGAGGATGGGCAAATGGATTAACTTGCACAGTATTCTACAATGTTTAATTTTATCTTTTGTAACCATATCTTTAGGTTGCATTAGGCTCTATTCTTACAAATAGGAAAAAAGCCCAAAGGAATAGCAGATGATTAGAGCAAAAATATGGCTGAATGAATATTGAAGGCTGGACTAATGTTTATACATAGCATTTAGTTTTGCTGTCTTTTTGTATGTTTTTTTTTTGTTTCTTACATTTTAGGTGTAAAGGTTGACTTAACATTTCATTCTAGCCTGACATTTACAAAGCAAGATGCTCACATCCTAAAATAACTACACTTATCAAGATTCTAGATCTTAGAGAACTCCTTTTTCTTTAATATGTGTAGCTGTTTCCAATAAATATTGAAAGGAAGAGAGAGAAGAGCATGATCTTTTTAGTGCCTTGAAAACAATAAAACTGGGCAAGTCTGATCACTGCCACTGAATGGATATTTTAATTTTCTCTCTCTGCCCCTTGGTGTTTGTTTTTACATGATCTTGTATAAGGTTTGTGACAATTCGGCTATTATTAATGACTTTTTGTTTCTCTTTCAGGGTTTTTTTTTTAAATGACTAGCAACGATTTGCCTTTCCAATATGATGTTGGAAGAAGAAGCAATTATGTGGGCAGTGGCACTGAAATACAGGTTGAAAACATCAAAGCATATATTTGCCAACCTGATTACAACACGAACAAAGCTGTGATTCTTGTTCATGACATATATGGATGGCAGTTTCCAGATATCAGATATATTACTGATATACTTGCAGCTAACGGATACATGTGAGCATTACTGTCATTATCATTATCTTTATCACTGTCATTATTAGTCCAAGTATTCATAAACCTACTTTTTAGGGTTATGTCCTCACAAAGCAGTGTACACAAAATGAACGAAACTGTAGTACATTAGATGATACAAGTATACAGTTGACATAAAAGATAATTGTATGAACAAATTATTTGAACTCACCCAACTTCAGTCCATTTAAAAAAATGCAACAATAAAATCACAAGCTTGTAGGATTTCTCTGAAACGCCTATACTGAAAGCACCAGACAAAACATTGAACTGTCTTTTTGCACTCTCCTCCGTCTCTTTTCAATAATTGCAAGACCAGAATTTTTGCCTAGCTTGTGTTGAATTTTGCACAGGAAAATTGGCCTGTATCCTGTTTAGGTTTTTTTGTTTGTTTGTTTTGTTTTGCTTGCATGAGGAGTTCCCACTTCATATGCCATGGGATAAAGGAAGGTGGTGGTCACATGCCTGGTTACGCACAATCAGCACCTCCACAGGCTGCCAGAGCAAATTTCCACAGCTGGAGCTCTGCACAATATAGATCTTGGCTGAAATCCTGTTGTGCAACTTTATGTTGCGCAATGAGATTTATGTCATCAGCTGTGATTGTACTTGGCTGTTCCCCTCCCCTCAGGTTTTAGGGATCCCTTTGTCCTGGAACAACTTTAGGTTGCTATGGAACAGCAAAGGGAATTCTTTTAAAGCTGGAAAATTGCCTCCATTGATCCCAGTCCTGGCAGTAGTGATTTTTCTGAATTTAAAAAACCCCATCCCTCTATTCCATGGCACCCAAAGCCTACCCTAGTATGAAGGGGATCCCTAGGGCTCGCCAAAACTTGGAGGCAGGGCTCGAGAAGGTTTTTTATTGTCCTGAATCAGTCAGGATATGGCTGCAGCTGATGACATAATCCTCATGGCTCACCACAGCTCAGCCAACAAGATTTCAGATGTTGAAAAGGATACTGGTCTGGCTCTGTTAACTTCCTGTACATTATTCCAGAGCACCAATCCTGCTCACATCCTAAAATAACTACACTTATCAAGATTCTAGATCTTAGAGAACTCCTTTTTCTTTAATAGGTGTAGCTGTTTCCAATAAATACTGAAAGGAAGAGAGAGAAGAGCATGACCTTTTTAGTGCCTGGAAAGCAATAAATCTGGGCAAGTCTGATCACTGCCACTGAATGGATATTTTAATTTTCTCTCTCTGCCCCTTGGTGTTTGTTTTTACATGATCTTGTATAAGGTTTGTGATAATTTGGTTATTATTAATGACGTTTTGTTTTTGTTTCAGGTTTTTTTTTTTTTTAAATGACTAGCAAGGATTTGCCTTTCCAATATGATGTTGGAAGAAGAAGCAATTATGTGGGCAGTGGCACTGAAATACAGGTTGAAAACATCAAAGCATATATTTGCCAACCTGATTACAATACGAACAAAGCTGTGATTCTTGTTCATGACATATATGGATGGCAGTTTCCAGATACCAGATATCTTACTGATATACTTGCAGCTAACGGATACATGTGAGCATTACTGTCATTATCATTATCTTTATCACCGTCATTATTAGTCCAAGTATTTATAAATCTACTTTTCAGGGTTATGTCCTCACAAAGCAGTGTACACAAAATGAATGAAACAGTAGTACATTAGATGATAAAAGTGTACAGTTGACATAGAAAATAATTGTATGAACAAATTATTTGAACTCAGCCAACTTCAGTCCATTTAAAAAATGCAGCAATAAAATCACAAGCATGTAGGATTTCTCTGAAACGCTTATATTGAAACCACCAGACAAAACATTGAACTGTCTTTTTGCACTCTCCTCCGTCTCTTTTCAATAATTGCAAGACCAGAATTTTTGCCTAGCTTGTGTTGAATTTTGCAAAGAAAAATTGGCCCGTATCCTGTTTAGGTTTTGTTTTGTTTTGTTTGCATGAGGAGTTCCCACTGCATAGACTGCCACTGGATAAAGGAAGGTGGTGGTCACATGCCTGGTTGTGCACAATCAGCACCTCCGCAGGCTGCCAGGGCAAATTTCCACAGCTGGAGCTTTCCACAATATAGATATTGGCTGAAATCCTGTTGCACAACTTTATGTTGCGCAATGAGATTTATGTCATCAGCTGTGATTGTACTTGGCTGTTCCCCTCCCCTCAGGTTTTAGGGATCCCTTTGTCCTGGAACAACTTTAGGTTGCTATGGAACAGCAAAGGGAATTCTTTTAAAGCTGGAAAATTGCCTCCATTGATCCCAGTCCTGGCCGCAGTGATTTTCGGAATTTAAAACCCCCCCCACCCCTCTATTCCAGGGCACCCAAAGCCTGCCCTAAAGGGGATCGCTAGGGATCTCCAAAGCTTGGAGGCAGGGCTCTAGAAAGTTTTTTTATTGTCCTGAATCAGTCAGGATAGGGCTGCAGCTAATGACATAATCCTCATTGCTCACCACAGCTCAACCAACAAGATTTCAGCTGTTGAAAAGGATACTGGCCTAGCCCTGTTAAATTCCTGTACATTATTACAGGGCATCAATCCTGAATATATATTTTTAGGCCTTCCATATAAAACTACTGACATGCCCAATAAGTTAGAAATTATAAGCCTTTTATTAAGGACTGAATTTTAAGTATGCTTGGAAATCTGAAAAATGAGAAGAATATTCTCTGTTAACTTCTGTTTCCGAAAGTGATATTCAGTGGCAGTTGGTGGTCATGGACTGATGAGGTAGAGTGACCAGTGAAAGGGAAGCCCAGGTCAATAGTAAGCAGGGGTGGCATAAGTTATTCTGGTTTTATTTCTTCTTCCTTGCAATGACACCATAGTACAACTTTGTAACATTCAAACTTGGGCTGAAATGAAGAATAGTCTCTTATTTTGTATATCAGTAAACTTCTATACTCCTGTACTTGATTGTTAGCTGGATGAAATAGGGTGGCCTCCACCAGCCTTTCTAACCACCACATGGACGGTGGCTAATACATCGGTCACCATTAATATTATAATTACTTATCATTTTTTTTACCTCTTTATGAAGAAAATTAAGTCACACAGATGCTTTTTCATACAGAACCATCTGCCCAGACTATTTTCTGGGAAAAGCGCCTTGGAAAACTACTGACCACTGGCAGGATTTTGGAGACTGGTTGAAGGACCGAGACCCTATGAAAGTGGATAGGTAAGGCTAATATGTATTGCAAAAGTGTAAGTAACAAAGAGGGGTGTATTAAAGAATGCATGGAGTTAAATAAGCAATACTAAAAAGAGACACTTCTTGGAATTAATCCAGGGGTGGTGAGGGTCTGGATGAGTTCATGCAGCACAGCCTTTCCTAACTTGGTGCCCTCAAGATGTGCCAGATTATAGCATTCATATCCGGCATTCCTCAATGTTCATTAGTTCCAGGAAAAGTACAGGATGGAGGTATAGCATCAGAACTGTTCCTCACCACCACCACCATTTCTGTTTGTGTAAACTCAGAAATGGGGCCTGGGCCTTTCCTATTTGCCATGTCTTATGTTTATCATAGTGGGACCTGGTGGCGCTGCGGGCTAAACCGCAGAAGCCTATGCTGCAGGCTCAGAAGACCAGCAGTCGCAAGATTGAAGCCACGCGACGGAGTGAGCTCCCGTCGCTTTGTCCCAGCTCCTCGCCAACCTAGCAGTTCGAAAACACGCAAATGCGAATAGATAAATAGGTACCACCTCGGTGGGAAGGTAAAACGGTGCCCCCTAGTCATGCTGGCCACGTGACAACGGAAACTGTCTTCGGACAAGCGCTGGCTCTATGGCTTGAAAAACGGGATGAGCACCACCCCATAGAGTCGGACACGACTGAACTAAAAATGTCAATGGGAACCTTTACCTTTATGTTTATCACTGTGAGACCTGGGCATTTAAAAGAGCATGTCCTATTCACAATTGATGGTGTTATTTCATACTAGTTCCCAAAGACCTGAATTCAGACACCTAACATAAATCAGACATGGGCTTCATGAGGGACATTGGCCACTTGTAGTGCAGATGTTTTTGTAGCTCCTGGTCTCCTCCTTCCAGCAGAAAAAGATTTCAGTTAAAACAAACTGCTGTTCCTAAAGACATCCAACAGCAGCTACTATTTACTTTCTTTTAAAACAAGGTGCAGCACCCCTCTTTTAAAAACTAAAAATAGCATTTTTACAAAGTGCGCCATTGGCTTTAGTTACTTCTGGTTTACTTTATTCCCCACCCCTCCTTTTGGGAGGTGAGTGTGTCCCTAGGGTGTACTAGAGACAGAAATCTGGCCCCATGCCACCTTTCATCTATTCTAAAGTGATCCTCTAAAAACCCACATTTAAGACATGTAGCAGTTATCTTTGTAGTGCAGATGTTTTTGTAGCTGCTGGTCCCCTCCCTCCAGATGAAAAAGATTTCAGTTAAAACAAACTGCTGTTCCTAAAGACATCCAACAGCAGCTACTATTTACTTTCTTTTAAAACAAGGTGCAGCACCCCTCTTTTAAAAACTAAAAATAGCATTTTTACAAAGTGCGCCATTGGCTTTAGTTACTTCTGGTTTACTTTATTCCCCACCCCTCCTTTTGGGAGGTGAGTGTGTCCCCAGGGTGTCCTGGAGGCAGAAAACTGGCCCCATGCCACCTTTCATCTAAAGTGATCCACATTTAAGACATGTAGCAGTTATCTAAAAGAGACAGTGTTTTGTAAAAAGGGTGTGCATTTTAAATTAATGGGAATTGCAGAGAAAGTGTGGGAACAAATTTTTCTACTACTGTTAAATCTTTTTAGATACCTTAGCTCTCTTTTGTTTCTGCTTCTTAGGACAACTGCTATAGTTATGAAGTATCTAAAGGAGCAGCAACATGCAGTGAAGATTGGTATCGTTGGGTTTTCCTGGGGTGGAATGGCAGTACATCATTTGATGCTGAAGAATCCTGAATTGAAAGTTAGGGTATCTGCCTACGGTAGTGAAAAATACACTACTTCTTAAAACAAACAAGCGCCTTTGAATATTTAAACACCTAACTCCTAAAGATGATCTGGAAGTATCAATCTGATTACTTGCTTCAATCATCTGTGTGCCATTGAACAAACAAGGAGGTTAGATAGCAATCCTATACCACTTGCCTGGGAGGAAGGCTCACTGAACATTGGGGGTTTACATCTCAGTAAGCACGAACTAGAATGCAGTGCATGGTTGAAGTAACGAAAGCAATAGAATACACTTTCCCGTCTGCTACTGAACTTTTCTAAACTTCCTGACAGCAAAATTGACATGACAGAAGCAGAGGAGAACTTGGCCATTTCCGATCTCATTTGAAATAAAAAAATAGTCTTCCAGATGCAACATTTATTCCCCAAATTGCATCTCATCTTGCACTGATGTTATCAGTACTTTTCCAACCATCTACATGATATTTACCTTTTAACATCTTTTATCTCCTGCTGGTAGTATGTTCAACATAATTGCAGTACTAGCTATATGTCTTGGGGCTCCTCCAGACAAGGCAAATGTTCTGCCCCTTTGGTCAAAATCTAATCAGTCCTATGTCTGAATGAAAGTAGTGCTTACCAAGATAAGGGTCCAAAGTGAATTTTTCAAAGAGAAAATAACTTCCCAGATACGAAGGTGGCAACAGAAGATTCCCTCCCCTTAAGCCTGGGCAACAACAATGCTGCCATTTTAATAATCGTATCTTAGAACTGCAGAACTTAAAGGGATCCTATGGATCGTTGAGTTCATCCCCTGTGATGCAGGCACAGTGGGGAATCGAACTCGCAATCTCTGGTTCCACAGCTAGAGACCTAAACCACTGAGCTATCCAGCTGCTGGTAGAATTGAAGCAGCAAGGTAGAGCAGTGCATTAGTGGGTGTACAATGGGGTTTGTTGTTCAAGTTCCCTTTGGCCAAACCTCTCTCTGAAACTGTGCCACTGCTGGCCTAAACCACTGAGCTATCCAGCTGCTGGTGGAATTGAAGCAGCAAGGTAGAGCAGTGCACTAGTGAGTATACAATGGGGTTTGTTGTTGAAGTTCCCTCTATCTGAAACTGTGCCACTGCTGATCTCTGGTTACAGACCGAAGCTTCATCACAATAGGCAAAACAGCAGAAACAAATATTTTCCTCCTGACATTTTAAAACAGCTTCCATAGCAGCTGTAATCAGGGGAACTACCAGAGGCCTTCCTTAGACCTGATATAGACTCACAGAGGAAGGTTTCTGCCTTTCTAATCTGTGCTATAACCACTCAGAGCTAGTCATCCAAAATATGCAAACATAACCAAAAGGGTTGAAAAATCAGTGTTCTTTCTCAGGCAATCTCAAAGTAGCAGAAGTAGCAGATGCTGCCTCTTGGCCAAAATTGGTTCTGGTCACTCGGCTATAAAAACTCAGCTTGCTTTCTTTTTTCCTGGCCAAACACCTTTTCCTCACCCCAAATTTGGCAGAATTGTCTGGAATACTGAGGATTTACATCAGATACTATCTGAAACTGTTCTATGTCTAAGTAGCTCTATGCAGCAACATTCCTAAGCATCAGCGTCCTAGTGGTGGTGTAGGATCTTAACCCTTGGTCTCTGGTTGGTAATAGGATGTTGTCCAAACCCTTGAACTGTAGATTGCACCCTGGATGCTCCATTAGTTCACTGTGTTGTTATTGTTTGTTGTGGTGGTGCCGTTAAACCTGGCATCCTTATATATTGAAAGCATATGACAAATGGGACAGACCAATAAAGAGAAGATTGTGTTCTCTGAATCTGAGATTTACTTTATGTATATTTTGTTTATATATAATTTACTTTATTATATATATAGGAATAATCAGGAACTCTGAAGATAGGTATGATTTGCTGAATCCTACATTTTTCATTTTTGGTGGAAAAGACCACACCATCTCTCTTGATCAGGTAAGCCAAAGTTTTCACATTTTAATTTCATTGATTACAGATACACCAGTCATACACATCAGAGGAGAAATGGAGCAAAAGAATCATGCGAATCTCTTTCTCATGTTTGTTTGGTTGCTGTGTTGCTTTTGTAATCCCTGTTCCTACTGTAATGGGGTGTCTGGGACCATTAGGCAGGTAATAGCCAGTAGTTGATTGTGGTTGGAAGAATGAGACTGATAAAGAGAGGAATGGTAAAAGGGAATTCCTGTGCTTATTGGCAAGAATCTGAAGATAATAGTGAAGACAAAAGATTCTTCAATCAGTGTCTACAAATCTGTGGTTGTTGACTGGCTGGCTGCATTTGCTAAAAACACCAAGATTATGGTTCTCGTTAACTTAGAGAAAGGAGAGGCAGAAGGTGCCAGATAACACATTTAATAATTGATAATAATAATAATAATAATTGGTCTTTCTGAGTACAATTTTGATTATTTTCTCAAAATATTATTGGGAGAGATACAGGATTTAGAGCTGAATAGTGCTTTGGCCTGGAAACAGCCAATCCTCTCTTAATTCTGCATCTTCAGTTCAGGTTGCAACTTCTCAGGAGCAAAAGACAAATAATATGCTCTGTGAACATTCAGAGACACTCCTTGTATGTATGAGTTTGGATTTCTTTCCACTAAGAAAGGGCTTTGGCACAGAAAGCTGGAGAATTAACTGTATAGATGTTGAACAAAAAGGGCAGAGGTAACATGACTAAAAGCGTGCTGTCAAGCTGAAAAACAAAACAAAACACACAAAAGCAAACCTGTAGTTCGATTTTTAATTACTTTCAAACAAAATTATCAAGGAATCTAAGTTAACAGTAGGCAAATAATTAGGAAACTTAATTTTTAACTTCCTGGATAGATATGTCTATGATGGAGTTTTTTGTATCTTACAGGTTACTTTACTGGAGCAAAAACTGAAAGAGTACTGTAGAGTGAGCTATAAAGTTAAAGTCTATCCCGGACAAGTTCATGGCTTTGCCCAGTGTAAGCCTGAGGACATGAAGCCTGAAGATGTGCCTTACATGGAGGAAGCAAGAATGGATATAATTGACTGGATGAATAGATATGTTATGGTTTGACATTTGAAACCAAGATGTGTCTCCTTTTTTCACCTCCCTCCTACTAGTGTACTTCAGATACTCTCCTTTAAAACATTTATGGATTGAAGTGTTATCCAAAAGAGTCTGAAAAAGAGAAACCACATGTTACAGAACTTGCAATAATAATTACCTCCCTCCTACTAGTGCACTTCAGATAGTCTCCTTTAAAACATTTATGGATTGCATGTTATCCAAAAGAGTCTGAAAAAGAGAAACCACATGTTACAGAACTTGCAATAATAATTAATTCAACCTTTGAGGATAGTGACCCTCAAATATGATTGTACTTATCTTCCAGTGTCCAACATTCAATATTCTGTGCTTCTGATGCAGCATGTCTTGTAACTTACTCTGTTTTCTATGGGCTGTTCAATTCTTTTTGTCCTCTTCCCCCCTTTTATGTGTGACATTATCTTTCCCTGAATATATCAAAAGTATCAGCTTTGAACCTTCATTCCATTCATTAATTTTAAAAACTCCCAGACCTTTAAAGTAGCCTGAATCCTCAGTCTTTGCTTATCCCAAACACTGCCCTCTTCATTCAAAATTAGAAGAGTTGCCATGGTTACTTTCTGGTAGCAGAGGAAAAAATTAACCCAATGCAAATAACAACAGTAGCGACAACAATAGTGTCACGTAGCTGGAAAAAAATGTCTTCAAGTCTCAAGCAAAAATATAAAATAATAAATAAACATCTCAAATATGAAGAAAGAGGAAAATGGAACAATTATTCAAATTATTGATCTTTTATTTTTTGTTCCATTTATATCTCTGTTCTTTCCTTGCACCAATTTTCATTTGGAACTCCTTCTCACTGCTTGTAAAGTTCATTGGTCAGAACTTGCCTCCCTGGGAAAGGGGGTCAGAGCTGGGATTACAGTCCTTCGCCCCATGGAGGAGCGTGATGCAAAAAATAAGGGGGTGGGAGTGAGAAATAAAAAGGAAAATTGTGGCTAAAAAAGATTAATTTCTGACCATCAGTGAACACATTAGGCCTAACATGTATTTTCTCCCTTTCCAACCTTCTCCCTCCAAGGAGCGAATAATTCAATTGCAAAATAAAAGCAAGTTCATTTATCAAATGCAGATGAAGGCAACCCAAGTTAGGAGAAACAAACTGTCTTATCCATTTAAGGATGCACTGGCACACAAGAGATCAACATCTTGTCCAGTGAGGCCCAAAAGTAAAAAGTTCTAAAAATTAGGTTTAATGGAAGCCAACCTCTCTCCTCTGCGCTGACTTCAGGCAACCAGGTAGAAACCTCTGGAAAGGATGTTTATTTTTGGAGGCTACTTTTCACTGAACTCCAATACAGCTATGAAACATCACACATTTGATGTTAAAAACAAACACTGGAAAGCAGCTTAAAATGGCAATATGATCTCCCACTTCTTCGACCCTTTTGCCATTGTACTGTAAGTTCTAGAATGTACTTGCATTATTTTAAAAAATGATAAAATGCTCCTGACCTTTCAGGTGTCTTCTGCTTCTCTCACTGCTATGATCCTGTGCCTTAGTGCAGACTTTGCAATCTAGTGCTTTCCAGATATTTTGAACTTTAGCCCCTGTGATCCATCACCATTGGACACCTTAGTGGGGGTTCTTGGGAATTGTAGTCCAAAAATCTAGAGAGCATGGAGTTGGGGAGATCAGCATTCATATGTAGCAATTTAATCACACTGCAGAGACAGTAAGAATGTCATGAGTTCAGCCGAAGATCCGGAACCTGAGGGGTTAACTACAGCTCAGGAGAATGCTGAGCGATTAGAAGCACAGACAGCTGAATCGCCCCCAGATTCTCCTCCCCCACTAGACAGGGTAGGGGCTACACTTTGGCAAAGACACAAAGGTCAGAGAATCACCTGAATGCTGCCCGCAGAAACATCAGATCAGCTAGCCCTGAGTATTTACAGAATGAAAGGCTTCCAGCAGTTCAAGGACTGTTTTATTAAATAAGCAGCTCCCAGACGGCTGGGAAGCTCATGGAAGCAACAAGTCAAATTTCTGGCTTGCACCCATGCTCCTGACTACCTTGAACCTTGTTCTCTAGACCCTTGGCTTTGGACTCTGACCCTGGACTAGGTTGTGTGATTTGGCTTTGGACCCTGACTTCCGATTACGGTTTGTGATTTGGCTTTGGCATTTTGGTATCGGCTCTGCGTTCTCTGAACTTCTGACATTGGACTGGTTTATCGGACTTTGCTGTTGAAACCCCTGGGAACGTGAAGATTGCTTCCACCACCACACTCCTCCCATAAGATGGAGGGAGAAGCAAGCAAAGGTTTGCGTCAGCTAAATGCTGTGCTTACTCAAGTGCAGTTTCTTACTCAAACAGTGGCACAGCTTCAACAGCAACAACTGCAATCCCAAGACGACGCTGCTTCCCAGGTCAAGTGCCCTGTGCTTTTTCCAGAAAAGTCTGGAGGAAAGGTGGAGGAGTTTCCAGGATTCCTGGCACAGTGTAAACTGTATATTGAGCTGTGTGCCAGAGACTTTCCCATGGACAAAACCAAGGTATGCTTCATAGTCAGCCTTCTCAAGGGACAGGCAACTAAATGGGCTACTCCTCTACTCCTTGCTCCTTCAACCCTGATATTTATTTATTTATTTTATTTATATCCCGCCTATCTAGTCACTTAAGACCACTCTAGGCGGCTTACAACAAGCGTGATACAATATAATTAAAACAATTTTTAAAAGGGGACTAACTTTGGACAAGATGGAACAGACACTAGGAGAGAGGAAAAAAGAGGGAAAATCAGGAATTGATTGAGGGGAAGACCTGCCGAAACATCAGTGTTTTTAATTGTTTTTAAAAAATACCCAGTGAGGGAGCCGCGTGAATGTCAGGAGGAAGGTTATTCCAGAGGCGAGGAGCCACCACCGAGAAGGCCCGATTTCTTGTCTTTTCTTTCCAGGCCTCCCTCGGTGTTAGGCTCCTCAGCCTCACCTCCTGACTCGCACGAGTTACTAGGGCTTTTTGGACCATATTTCAGCAGCTTTTGCCAATCCCTTGCAAGCTGCTATTGCCAATAGGAAGATTTGGGCCCTGAAACAGGGTAAGGGTTCAGTTTCCCAGTATTCCACTGATTTCAGTCTCTTGGCTCAAGACTTGCTCTGGAATGAGGCAGCTGTCATGGACCAATATATGCAAGGGTTGCCTGATGGGATCCTAGATGAGCTGGCACGTGTAGATCGACCCAATACGCTGCAAGAACTAATCACTCTATGCCTTTGCATTGATGGCCACCTGGAGAGCTGACACCTAGCATAGCCACCACCAACACCTACCAACACTAGACAACAGGATTCTGAGCCCATGCAGTTAGGGGCTGCTCGGCCACACCTAATCCCTGAGGAAAAAACACGATGCCGCTCGCAGAATCTCTGCCTGTACTGTGGGGGCGCAGGACACTTTGCTTTTGGCTGCTTGGTTAAGTGGCGCAACCCCGGCTCTGCACTGCCACCATCAGTAAAAGATTTGCCCCATGTCTGAGTGAACCCCCAGACATACTTCTGACATTGGACTGGTTTATCGGACTTTGCTGTTGAGACCCCTGGGAACATGACAAGGAATTACTTTGTTTTTTCTTAGATGTTGAACATAATAAAAACTGAGGGGGGGAAGCAGCAGATTTTAGCATTTGCCCTAATTAATAATAGGTATTGTTGATGAAATCAACTAGTGGCAGCTGAGGGGCACGCAGCGTGAGCTCTTTGGTTGGTGAAACAATCGGGCCATGTGGAATCGTGACAGACCAATAGAAGTGCTTCAGAAACAACTGGGATGTAGATTCTGCCTGCCTACTTTAAGGGAGAATCTATTGAAACAATGTGTACCACACCCTTACAATTTTGCACCTTTTACGTAGTAAGAAGGAGCCAACACCTTTGTAAAAGAGCTTGCTCCTCCCCATTCCTCTTGCAGAGGAAGAAGAGAAACCCCAGCAAGGAAGTCCATTCTCCACTGCTTTTATTGTTCACTTTTTAATAGTTTATTATCCTAATTACAAAGGCATTGCAGGTCTGACTTAGTAAGAAAAGTGGTCATTAAAACAAACAAACAAACAAACAAACAAACAAACAAACAAACAAACAAACAAACAAATAAATAAATAAATAAATAAATAAATCAGGGTAGGGTGCCAAAATTAAGATTAGCCAGGAGGCACAGCTGAGCTCTTTCAGTGATGGAATTCCTTTTCTACTCTATGCACCTCATGTGGCATCTGTCCACCACTGTACATACTTCGAAGCAAATGTGTTGTTGGTTATTTAATGAATATCAGTTTTACACAGTTGGGTTTTTCAGTTTCACAAATTTAAGAAGAAACTCAAATTGTTTTTGCATAATACAGATATGTCCCCTGCCGTTTCAAAAATACTGCATCAAATCAAGTGCCTCTGAAATGGAAATAATTAAATATACTTCCCCCTTTTGTTCTCTCTCCCTTCCTCTTCTCCTCCATCTGCACTATTAGGTGGTACCATTTTTTTTATTTTTTAGGATTATTGCTATCAGTTTTAATATTTCTATTTTTGTTTTTGTTTTCTATTTTACGGGTTGTAACGCACCCAGAGGAGTGGTGCTGTGACACTAATGGAAGCAGGATAATGAATTAATTACTCTTCAGATTTCCACAATGCATTGAATTTGGTAGATTACACTTTACTTGAGTTCTTTACAATTTACCAAATACCAGCAAATTTTCTCTGTAGAAGGCTCACCTTTGTTAGCCTTAATTTAAAACCCTATATTTTGGAGCTAATATCTGGCAGAGGATGAGACAGACAAACCAGCTGTGATACAACTCGTTTTATTAAGAAACCAAAATAAGCCAAAACAGACATAGATTGGATACATATATACAGTTTACAAACAAAGAGTCGTAAACCCGGAAACTGTGATTGGGCTTAATCTGAAATCAGTTTGGATCCTTGCTCTAATTGGTGTTTAGGTTGTGATCCAATTGACCTATTGGTTCTTAACAGAGAATGAAGGGATGGGTGCCCCTTCTTGTTGTCTTTCTAATTTTCCAGACATCTTGGCATCCCAGATATGTACTGTATTTGTCGCAATCTCCTCTGAAACCCCTATTCCCCCCAGGCCTTCATGAGGTTCTGGCTCTTCTTTCTTCTTTGCTGCCACCAGATATTAATGATTTAATATCACGTAAGTATTGAGACTCGTGTGTTATCAAAACATAAGTCTTGATAATCAATAAACACTCATGGAGTAAATTACAGGCTGCAAATCACTTATATTTGAATCAGTTAGGATATTACTTCAAAACTCTTTTAACCCTCTGCTACAATCCACACTATTACAGATCTCTAACTCACTCTTCAATCACTTTTAATCTCCACACAGTCTCTCTCTCCCTCAGACTTCATCCACTAGTCTTTTTATCCTATTCCCTTCCCCCCCTGGCCCCGCCTTCTGTTCACTCATTGGCTACTGCGTTAATGTTCTGCGGTGACGGGCAGGTAAGGGCAGGGCTGTTCACTACAGTATTCCTTATCTATACTGTGTGTTGATGTTGCTGTTCCTGAGGACTGAGGATCTGTTGTATTGTGAAAAGGGGTCTCTGTCTGGAGGTCACGTAGGCCTTATCATGTTTCTAGGAGTCAAGGTTGGCTAAAATTTGCTACATTAGGTGGGAAGAGTCCTGATTCTTCTGTGCTTATATACTTGCTATATTGTTCTATATTGCTACATGTTTCACTACCTTCTTTATTTAATACCTACTCGCTATCACCTTGATGAGAGTAAAAACATTCAAAATAAATATCTTTTGCTCAACAAAAAATCCATAAAATAAACTGACACAAAGTTCTACAGAAGAATTGTAAACAAACAGCTGTTGTTTTACCAGTATTTGTATTTGACTCCAAATATTAGTTTGACATTGACTGCTGAGTTAACATTGCAAAAAAATTTGTTTAACATGTGGAAAATGGGTCATGAGATTGATCTTTAATGACTGCACAGTTAAGGGTAATGATTTAATAAACCAGGCATTTAAACAAGGAATGTTGTGGTGTGTTATTTAAGACCTTGTCAATGCCCAAATGCAGAACTGCCAAAGAGAGCAAAAGGGTAGCAGTCAGATGATTTGTGGTTCTTTAGAGGATGGGTGGGGTGGGGTGAGAAACAACAAACAGACGAATATGCTGAGTAAGCATGACCGGAGGAAGAGCCAGAGAGGAGGGGTTCAAGTCTCCTCCCACTTCCACTCTGGTTTTACTTTGTGCCAGCCTCTGGTGGTGTTTCGTAACAAGCAAACTGATTTTCATTTTTTTTTTTTCAGGAGAGCTGCAACAAGCACAGCGAGTGCTGTCCAGGAAGCTGTGTGGTAGAAGCCAAAATACTCATTAACAGCTGAGGTAATTTCCCTCTTATTTTCATTTCTATTAGAGCATTGAGAAATCAAGCATTCTGCTCTCACAAGAAACAGGAGGACTCTTAGTTCCGGGTAGGTAGGAAGCTAGATTGAAATGCCAAACTGCCCTCCACAGTAACATGAGTGGAAGAGAGAGATACCAAATAAAGTTATGATACTTTGCTATAACTGGCTAACTGTCATTACTATAACTGGCTAGCTGTCTGATCTCAGAATTGCAGCAAAATCTTTTGCAGAGAGAAGAACCAATGCCTTTATTATATTGAGACTGAAATACATGTAGAAATCACATTGGGGCAAGTGTCCCAAGTGTGTGCTAAGTACTTCTAGTTATAATAAGGAAATGAGTTTCCCTTTGGTGACAGTAAAAGTCTGCTTATAAGTTTACCTTCACTTCTATTATGGTGAAACTGAGGTATGGCTAATTTGACGTGTATATAGTTGACATATGATAGATGAAAGGCAGAACTAGTTTAAAATTGTTTTTTATTTTGGTTTTAATGCTGATAACTGTTTAATCATTCTTTCAATGGTATTTTTAAATTGTTGATTATTGTACTGTTTCAGTTGTTGTGAGCTACCCTAGGGTCCTCAATGTATTATGGTGAAACTGAGGTATGGCTAATTTGACGTGTATATAGTTGACATATGATAGATGAAAGGCAGAACTAGTTTAAAATTGTTTTTTATTTTGGTTTTAATGCTGATAACTGTTTAATCATTCTTTCAATGGTATTTTTAAATTGTTGATTATTGTACTGTTTCACTTGTTGTGAGCTACCCTAGGGTCCTCAACGGGGAGAAATGCAGCAAATAAATGAATAAATGAATAAATTAATAAATGAATAAATGAATAAATAAATAAACAAATAAACAAACAAACAAACAAACAAATAAATGCATACATGCATACATGCATACATGCATACATGCATACATGCATACATGCATACATGCATACATGCATACATGCATACATGCATACATGCATACATGCATACATGCATACATGCATACATGCATACATGCATACATGCATACATGCATACATGCATACATGCATACATGCATACATGCATACATGCATACATGCATACATGCATACATGCATACATGCATACATGCATACATGCATACATGCATACATGCATACATGCATACATGCATACATGCATACATGCATACATGCATACATGCATACATGCCCAACCAACCAACCAACCAACCAACCAACCAACCAACCAACCAACCAACCAACCAACCAACCAACCAACCAACCAACCAACCAACCAACCAACCAACCAACCAACCAACCAACCAACCAACCAACCAACCAACCAACCAACCAACCAACCAACCAACCAACCAACCAACCAACCAACCAACCAACCAACCAACCAACCAACCAACCAACCAACCAACCAACCAACCAACCAACCAACCAACCAACCAACCAACCAACCAACCAACCAACCTCTAGATTTGGAAGATATGAAGGCTAGGCACTTTGCATGAATCTCCTTGGCCATGAAGAGGTGAAATAAGAAAACTAATACTCTCTCATACTACTTCTAGGTTTTCCAGGTCCACAAAGTCAGAATGATATTTCTATTCAGCTGTGTCTCTTCTCTATCACCGTCTTCTGAAGTTTGGAGTCACACTGACCCATCCTGTCCTGGGCCCAGACTTACCTTGTGGTCACATTTTCAATGTAATGCTCACTGGGAGTTTGTGACCCAGCATCTGGCATATGTAGTCCCTTCATGGAGTCCCAGTTCCTTACTGCAGGACAAAACTACCCCTGTAAGAAGGGCTCACCATCTGTGAGCAGGACTCAACAATAACAATGCTAACTAGAGATGGGGGTATTTGTATTTGTATACGAATACCCTGCAGAGCTGGACTTATTTAGGGTCTGGACCCTGAGGCTGGGCCGTCCACTCATGCGGCCGGTGGCAGCAGCAGCCTCAGTCAGCCTTCCATTCGCTCCCAGAGCGCCACTGCCTTTCCATTCATCTAGCCAACTCCAGGCAGGGGGAGGGAGGACGAGTCTCCCTGCATAGCTGCCAAGTACGGTAGCTAGATGAGTGGAAAGAGAGTGGAGCTCTGGGAGCGATTGGAAGGCTGACTGATTCTGCTGCTGGACAGACGTGTGAGTAGACGGTCCAGCCCCAGGGGGCCAGAGCCTCGTTAAGTCCAGCTGTGCAGGGGTATTCATATTTGTATATAAATACGCCCATCTCTAATGCTAACTAAATATTTATCCACAAGCGCAATGAAGATCGGTGGATTCTCCTCATTTAAAGTCTATAGTTATGTACATGTTCAAAGCTCTAAACAATAATGTGAAACTTTGTTCAAAATTCTAAAGATTTGTGCAGAGGCTGTAAACCAACTCAGATGATGCTCTGAAGAGAAACTTTATTATTTCATCCACAGTTAGTATTTGTAACTTAAATGTGTTTGCAAAGGAATGGAGATAATATTATTTGTCCGCCATATCCCATTCTCTTCGTGTCCAAAGTCCATGAAGGCCTGTGTTACTATGTAACTAAATGTAAGCTTTTCATGGCTGTGCTAAGGAATTGCAAAAGTGCAGAGACGAGCTATATTAAATACATTTGATTTTGTTTTGTGGCCTATCTATTTTTGCTGTGACTCAAGCTGCAGTACCATACACACATACCACAGAGTAGGCCCTGTTGAATTCAGAAGAGACAATTCTGAAAAAAACATGTTTAGTTCCGTTTTGCACACAAAAACTGTGTTGATGTAAGTTAGCAGAGTTTTGTTTCAATCCAGGCAGTCCAGTTGAATCACACAAAGACAGCTTCTTCCAACAGCAAGTGTGTTTACAATTGTGGTTAGGTTAGGCATCCTTCTGTCTCGAGAGACTATGGTATCGTGCTCTGCCTGGAGGGCTTGGAACAGTGTCTAGTTGGCTGAGAAGGCCAATTCGAGAGTGACAATCCAATATATATAGAAGTTTAGCAGTACAAACCGGCTGCATGACAGCATAACATTCATTAGAAGAGATCCTACATCTTCTCCACATGTCCACACAGTTATACACATGCACATTTATACACAGCCAGCCAGTGTGGACATTGCATCATCCCAGACTATATAATTCAGCATTCTGCACACCTGTAAAATATGGCTGCTGATTGTCATAGTCCTTGTTCTGCCTCATTGTGGGAATTATCCTTGACAAACTGGCTATGATTCTGAGTTACTTCTCTTTGCATTTTAATCATGACTAACATTAGCAATACTATAAGCATACCTGAAAATCAAAGCAGACTCGATTTTAGAGAAGTCACTAGCAGCCTGTTCTTTTTCTCTTTCAAATAAGTACATAAATTGGGACCTTAATATGGAGTACATGGGAGGAGGAGGCCTATATACACAGTGATTGGTTCCACTGAATCTCCAATTTGTATTGCAGTGTACAGTATTATCCACTGTTCTAATAAGTTACTGTTACTAATTCTGAAATAGATATTACTGATGTGGCACATTTAAGTGCTATGATCCATTCTGGATCACTTGGATCTAGGGTCCTGATCTACTGAGTACAGTGGCTCTGAATCTACTGTGGAATTTATTTTAAAAAGCTGCTAGCTGCCATTTTATATCATGTCTGCTTTGATGTCACACCTGGATACAATGCTTAGTGCCTAGAATATATTCCTACCTTTTCTGATAGTCCTAATTAAAAATTATCATAAGACTTGGTATCTAGGAGACTCTTTTGTTAACTCCACTATGCATCCATCTCTGAATCCAGAGGTCACAAACCATTCATATGTATATACATATACAGTATATGCATGCACCATCATCTGAATGTTGTTGGGCTAGAGTCCTACATTCAACCTCCAGCTGTTATTAATCTTTATGTATCATATTTTAAATGTTACAGATGGCTAACGAACAGAACCCGTGCCCATGCAACATTGGAGACAAGTTTGAATACAAAGGACTTGGAAACGACATTTCTGTTGGGCATATCAAGGCCTACCTGAACAAACCATCCGTCAGCACTGACAAAGCTGTGATAGTGATTCATGATATATTCGGATGGCAGCTACCTAATACACGATACATAGCTGACTTGTTTACGTCCAATGGATACATGTAAACAGAATTTCCTTATTTTTCCTCACTTTTCTCATCCATCTGTCCTTTTTTAGATCATGTTGTGCACAAATTACATCCTCATATGTTTTTCACAATATTGAAGTTATACTTAAAGTGAAACAATTACCTTTGCAGATCAACATACTCTAAGTAATGACACCCAGTCATGTGTCCATAAGGGACCCACAAGGAATGGGGAAGGGGATAATCAGCATGCTAACAGGAGATTTGTGAGCTTATGGGCTTGACCCATGTTTCCTTTCCCACTTGAACCTGTGGAGCAAGCCAAACAAAATGCTGAATGTGTCTTTGTATTTAACATACATTTAATGGTTTTTAAAATATTCATAGCGGCCCTGATGGTGTGGCATGGGTGGGTGCAGTCGTGCACACTATTATCAAGACTGAAACAGGGGGGGAAAGGGGGGAAACTCCCACTCCCCATCTGCTTCGCAGGCAGAGAGGAGTAACCCTTTCCAACTGCTGCAGCATGTGTGCCTTTGAAACAGATACTTGTATTGGCAGAGAAGCTCCTACTGTACCATTATGGAAATCTGGGGGAAGCAAGCAGCATGCTTCTCATTCAGTCCTGAAGCTGAAGCTGATGGGAGTTTAAATCCAAAAAAAACAAAGGGCAGCATCACAAAGAAGGCTGAAGCAGGCTTATCAGACTCATATGTGATGCAGTTTTGGGAGGGCTGTAAGCCAGGGCAGAGCATCTTGGGCTTTGCCCCAGGGCACCAAAATGAGGAAGGAGCCAAAATCTAGGGGTGAATGTTCTTGTGAGTGTTGGGAAAAATAAGTGGCAACAGTTCACAACCTTATTCATTTTTGGTGAGCGGGGGGGAGAGAAGAAGGCAGAAGATATAGATAACCTTTCCTTTTTGCTTTCCTCTCTCCTGCAGGGATGAGCATTTTAAAACTTCATGGTATCCAAAGCCCCACACCAACTCACACGTTAAGGGTACTTGCAGTGCATTGCTCCACCCCCCAAACTGCAAATGTCTATGATTTTGTAACTGTACCCCAACGCAAAGCTATCCTGAATATTCCAAGGGTCTTGGAAATGTAGAGCTCTTTAATGGGATATTTTGGGCTTTGTCAAGTGTTTGCTTTCATTGAATATACTTCTACATATCCAGGCAGCCCTCTTCCCCAAAGTGAAAGTGATGACCCTAGTTAGGTATTAGAGACCGTGATGTTGATTTGCATTATTATTATTTTCTTTTTAGTTATTTTTTTTATTTTTAGTTATTATATAATAAAACCTGTCAAGAAAAGAACTTCTCACACCTAAATTCAGCCAGTCAATCAACTGATTTAATCCAGAGGTACTTGCACACACAATCATACAAAGTGGAGTTAAAACCTCATATAATAACTTACTGGAGACATGAACTCATTTCTCATCCAAAGATGTATGACAATACAAATATTCATGACAAATACTGTGTCATACATTTTTATAGTGGTTGACTATTTCTACAGGGCATTTGTGAAATATCTTGTGCTACCTAGTTTGTAGTGCAATAAATCATCCTGACTATTTCTACAGGGCATTTGTGAAATACCTTGTACTACCTAGTTTGTAATGCAATAAATCATCCTATAGTTGTTGTGGGTTTTTCGGGCTTCTTGGCCGTGTTCTGAAAGTGGTTCTTCCTAACGTTTCGCCAGTCTCTGTGGCCTTCGCAAATACAAATCATCCTATATTATGTACATGGAGGCAAGCCCTCTGCATGCTTGAACACATGAAATACTTGTATTACTTGGGGAAAGGTCTCCGCATTCATGCCGATAATCACCAGACTAGGAAAAGTAACCTAAACATGTACAAGGTAACACTGCTTCAACATCTACCATATTATAAAGAAGAGATGGAGAATATATGGCCCTCTAGATGTTGGTGAATCACTGTTCCCATCATTCTTCATTATAGCCCATACTGGTAGGGGCTGATGGGAACAGGAATCTACGTTATTCTTTGTTTGTGTCAAAAGCAATCCAGTGGTGCTTCCAGAGTGGAATGAGCATCTGATTTGGCACTGTTGTTGCCCAGGAGATGCCCAAATGTGTTCATGTTCCATACATTCTTTGGAGAAAGGCAATCCTCTGTCTGTGACCCCCAGGAAACCAGCAATACTTGGGCAATAACATTTCTGCCAATTTGTTGTAAATGTTTCTTTGTTCCCAATGTGCTCTAAGGAAGAGCTACTTGTAAAGCATAACATCAGAATCCCTTAAATAAAACTTGAGTTATTTTTCTTAAATAATTTTAATGAGGCTCTGGTGATGGTGGTGGTGGCCTTCTATATTTTAGATTAATACTAAAGGTGTTCAAAGAAAGTATTTTTTTAAGTTAAATTGTATTTATTTTCTATACAGATCAATTTTACCAGACTTCTATAAGGGAGAAGAACCTTGGAAACCATCTGATGACTGGTCTATCTTCAATGACTGGCTAAAAACACGAGATGCCAAGAATGTTGACAAGTGAGAGTTTAAAACAAATGATGTTTATTATTCCCTACTGTTGATGTTGCAAGCTGGTGGGAGGATTGGTCTATTTAAGTTGTATACATCAAACAAGGGTGAGGTGCAGGTGTAGGCCTTGACCAGTTTTAAATGTTTGACTGTGAGAAGGCTTGTTTGTCTTTCACCATTTTGTTGTGTGTTATCTCTTGCTGTGATGATCAAACTGCCAGCCATGTCTCACATTGAGTAGAAACTTTCTGGTTTTAGAAAAAGGCACGGCTGAACTCTACATGGTTCTTTATTTGTTTATTTATGTTTTATTTGTGGTGAACTCCACTCACCACAACTCCTTGAGGGAGAGGATAAACTCTATTACCTTTGAAGAACCTATGGTGAGGCAGTTTTTGAAATAAGCCCTGTAGGTTCCTATAGTTTTACTGTATTCCAAGGGATGTGAGTACATAGAAGTGGCCCACTACCAAGTTTTCCTGGCTGACACTAGTTTTCTAGGTCAGTATTCCTCAAAGTGTTGCCCTTGATATCTAGATACTTTGGACTACAATTCCCAGCTAGGTTGCGGACCATTGGCCATTTTGGTTGGAGCTGAAAAGGAGTTGAAATCCAATGCATCTGGAAAGTATTGGATTGGGGAAGACTGATCTAGATCCTTATTATTCAAGTCTCAGACTTGACTGGAAAAGGAAAGCATTAGTTACCCTGATGGATGAATTGTTGTTTCTCCTAAACCTGTCAGTGTCCTTTGGAATCCACCTGAACCATCCTGCCAGGAATGGAATGTGGGAGCAACAGTCAAGGAAAGGCCACCTTAGCGGTGGGAAGACAGAATTTGATTCACACACAATCTACAAGCACAGACATTGGCTGAAATCCTGTTGCTAGGCATAATAAATAGAAGTTAGACTAGGCCCAGTGGATCAGTGGGAATTTGGTGAGTCAACTTCTCTGTACATTCAATTGATTCAGTGGGTGTATTCTAGTAGCAGGTTATTAAGACAAGCAACATGATGTCCGCCACTCTTTATGTCCTGAGGTATCTTCTGATCCCAGTAAGAACAACCATCTTGCACAGGGAATTAAAGAAAGAATGAAAGCTCACAACAGAGTGCACATGTGTGTTTTCAGAACAGAATGTGGTTCATAATGCTCAAAAACTGGAGCCGCATTCAGGCCCAGGAAATACACTAATTTGTGAGATCAAATAGAAACAAACACCTTACCATATGCATACGATGGAACATGTTTCTACTACAGTAATATAACAGTTTTTGGTGAGCTAAATTCCCCACATGAAAAGGCATTATTTGTACTCATCCTTTCTGTCTCTTGTTTTGTCCCTTTGCACAAAGGCATATGTTTTTAAAAATCCCAATATGTTTCTTTATCTGAATATCCCTGTGCCAACAATCCATGATAAGTTGTGATAGTTCTGTCCCAGGTGTTTTTTGCTTACACAACAAAAACTGTAAGTGCCAAGTCACTGGAATTTGGGAATACTGTTTACAACTGTGGTGATGTTTCTGAAAGATTGTACTCATAGGTAACTAGATATCTGACCTGGTGGAAGAAATAGCTCTTCCTTCCCAGCGTTCCAGGATGAGGTCACCCCTTCAGATCTTGACCTACTGGTGAACTACATTGTAGGTTTAGTGTGTCTGCAACTATAAGTCAGTTGCGGTGGGGGGGGGAGAGGCTCAAATGTCCTCTCTTAGTGTTTGATGGTTTATCAAACCACAGTTCAGAATTTCTGAAGTTAGATACCTGGGTTTCACCTTCTGGAACTGTCTCTAGATATTGCCTAATCAAAATGGACTATTTACTTGCATTTTCTTTTTTTTAAAGTCTGTGTGTGTGTGCGTGTGCGTGTGAAAGCTTGCCTTATTTGGGGTGTGTGTGTGTGTGTGTGTGTGTGTGTGTGTGTGTGTGTGTGAGTGCGTGTGTGCGCGCGTGTGCGTGTGTGCGCGCGCGCGCGTGGGTGTGTGCGTGCGTGCACATGCATGTGTGTAATCCCCTAGCAGTGTGGTGTGTGTGTGTGTGTGTGTGTGTACGTGGGTGCACGTGGGTGTGTGTGTACATGCGTGCGTGCATGTGCATGTGTGTAATCCCCTAGCAGTGTGTATATTGACTTGTTCCTTGCTGGTCCAGATTTATGTTTTTCTAGTTGATTTTTTAAAAAATTTACTTATATTTTTGTGTTTTAGGGAAACAGATGTGGTTTTGAAGTATCTGAAGGAACAATGTAATGCAAAGAAGATAGGTGTTGTTGGGTTCTGTTGGGGTGGAGCTGCTGTTCATCATTTGATGTTGAAATATTCGGAATTTAAGACGGGCGTGTCTGTCTACGGTATGTACCAGATACAGAGGAGTCAATGGAAACAGATACCTCCACATGAATTACACAGTTAGTTTATGGAAGCAAGGTGAAACTTTTAGGGTGGAGCATGTTTTTGTCTATCAGAGATTGTAACTATTAAGAGTGAAAACACTCTTGGACCAGTTGTTGTAGAATATGAAACTGCACCATGCAGATATATCAATATGCCACTTTATCTGCTGTGGCTGTATCCTATAGCATCCTAGGGATTTTCAGTTTGGGAGTACTGTATACTTAGAGAGATTTAGTGCATCCTGCTGAACCACAGCACTAGACCTCTCGTGCAGAGAGTATCTCACCAAAGATCAAATGTCAGGATTCCGTAAGATGCTATCTTCTGCGATAGAAGTGTGGTGTAGACACACTTTATATCCATCTGCTGTGGCTGTATCCTATAGCATCCTAGGGATTTTCAGTTTGGGAGTACTGTATACTTAGAGAGATTTAGTGCATCCTGCTGAACCACAGCACTAGACCTCTCGTGCAGAGAGTATCTCACCAAAGATCAAATGTCAGGATTCCGTAAGATGCTATCTTCTGCGATAGAAGTGTGGTGTAGACACACTTTATATCCTATCTCTTGTCAAATGTCAGGATTCCGTAAGATGCTATCATCTGCGATAGTGTGGTGTAGATACACTTTATATTTTATCTCTTGCACTTGAGCAGAAGCAATTTGTACATCACCTCGTTTGTACTTTATGAATGAAAGAGAGCTCTTTTTAGCTACTTATTATTATAAATTCTGACTTGGCTAACAGAACGGTTATATTGTTGCTTTCACTACATCTCCAGGGTTAAACTATAGAGATGTGGTTTGTTAAAATATGGTTACTGACACTACTAAGGAAATTAAAAGTCTTCAATTAACATGTGGCCATACCGTTTTTCTTTGAATTTAGGTTGATGCAGTACCCAGTAAGCCATCGTAGGTTATTTTAAAATTATATCTATTCATGTGTGCTATTTTACAGCTGCAACATCGTGCTTTATAAAGTATTTGAGTGCTTGTGTTTCTAATGTTTTATAATTATAATGTATTTTTATTTTACGAAACTATAATTTTTACAGCTCTTTTCCTTGGGCCGTGAGAAATGTTGGGTTGCAGTTTCTGTAACATCTGCTGATTAGCCAAGCTGACATGGCTTCTAGAGTTGTAAGAGTGAATAGAAAGACTGAAATTTTGTTTAGGCCACTAGTTTTGGCATAACCCGATTTTTCAGAAACTCTGATGCCTCTTCACCTCTTCTCACCATCACCTAGCCCTTCCCTTAACAAAAAAATGCTGTTTATAATTGAAAATAAGCACAAAACCTTATTAAAATTACTTAACATAATTAACATAACTAAAATAGCCATAAGTAGTTTTTATTGAGATACCCTTAGTTCTAGTAATGGTAGTTATTGCAGAAATTTGTTTTATATTAATTATAGATGACATATGTAGATATAGAAGTAGATGGAGATAGGGATAGAGACTCCTTTACTCAAATCTCATACAGTCTCAGCTCCCCCTTTGTAACACCGCCTGAGTGGCAGGCCTCCTAGTTTAGAAATCAATGATTTAGGCATGGTATGGAATACTTATCTCTATATTTTACAATATGAACAGCTCCTGTTGTATTTCATGAAAGGTTTGGGTATTGTATGGGTTATCTTATGTACATTAGGGGTTAATGTCAGGCTTTCAAGAAGTGCTAGTAACGGAAGTATGGGCTGATATACAAATCAAAATATTTCAGGGAACTCCTGGCTTAGGATTTACTTGCACATCCAGACTGTCTGCATCAATACTTGTTTCAACAGATTGCTTATGTTCTTGTCTCTCTGAGATATGTATGGAGTCAACACAGGTAATTTCTGGGTAACAACCTTACTTTTGAACTTTTGGCACAATTTTCTGATTTCCGATTTTCTGATTTCTTTGATGCCATTAACTTTCTTCTGCATATGAAATATAGGTTGTTCATAAGTGGCATCATTTTGGTATCTTTCCAGCAATCTGAATGCTGCCAGGAGTTGCTAAAGCACCCAGATATGCACTTGTAGCAGGCACAAAACCCATCAATATGGTTTCTCTCACTGTGATCTGACAGCAAATTATGCCACATATGAACAACATCCCTCTCATATCCAGAAAAAAATCATTTATGTACAGTTACTGAATATGAAAAGTTATTTGTTCATTCAAATTGTGGCGTTTAATTTTAATCTTTTTTTTGGGGGGGGGTCTAAATATTATTTAGGAGCTATCAAATTAGCGGAGGGCCATTGCAATCTGAAGAGCCCCACATTTTACATTTTTGGAGAGAACGATGATGTCATTCCTCTTGACCAAGTAAGGTTATTTCTGAAAGGCAGAACTTTCAGATTATATTTCAAGTAATGTAAGACCAGTGTCCTGTGTATGGAAAATAAATTGTATGGGGGTGGGAGGATTAACTCACAGGGCATTCATGTCTCTTAAAATTCAGTGTATCTTAGATAACGTGACTTCATATAGTTGATGATCCCATGACAGATTTTAAGATGATTAACATGTACCTATGAATATCTTTATTCTTTTATTGTTCATAGTCATTGGCTTTTTGTAATGTTGATTTCCTTATTAGAAGTAGAAAGTCTGGACTATTTTGCATCAGATATGTTTGCTTATGTTGGGATAAGTAATCTTATGAGAATTAGCTTAAACAAGAAGGAAGTACGAGGTTGTGAGTGTAAGAAACAGTGGTAGCATTTGGGACCATACATGAGAATGATAGACCAGATCTTATAGTCTTGTTACTTCTTTCAGGAGTTGCTAAAGCACCCAGATATGCACTTGTAGCAGGCACAAAACCCATCAATATGGTTTCTCTCACTGTGATCTGACAGCAAATTATGCCACATATGAACAACATCCCTCTCATATCCAGAAAAAAATCATTTATGTACAGTTACTGAATATGAAAAGTTATTTGCTCATTCAAATGGTGGCGTTTAATTTTAATCTTTTTTTGGGGGGGTCTAAATATTATTTAGGAGCTATCAAATTAGCGGAGGGCCATTGCAATCTGAAGAGCCCCACATTTTACATTTTTGGAGAGAACGATGACGTCATTCCTCTTGACCAAGTAAGGTTATTTCTGAAAGGCAGAACTTTCAGATTATATTTCAAGTAATGTAAGACCAGTGTCCTGTGTATGGAAAATAAATTGTATGGGGGTGGGAGGATTAACTCACAGGGCATTCATGTCTCTTAAAATTCAGTGTATCTTAGATAACGTGACTTCATATAGTTGATGATCCCATGACAGATTTTAAGATGATTAACATGTACCTATGAATATCTTTATTCTTTTATTGTTCATAGTCATTGGCTTTTTGTAATGTTGATTTCCTTATTAGAAGTAGAAAGTCTGGACTATTTTGCATCAGATATGTTTGCTTATGTTGGGATAAGTAATCTTATGAGAATTAGCTTAAACAAGAAGGAAGTACGAGGTTGTGAGTGTAAGAAACAGTGGTAGCATTTGGGACCATACATGAGAATGATAGACCAGATCTTATAGTCTTGTTACTTCTTTCCAAACTAGTATCACTGAATTGTAACATTTATAATTTTTGCTTGAATATCTTTCTTCAACTATATCCTTCTTCAACAACATAAATACAGTGGTGCCTCAACTTACGAACTTAATTGGTTCCGGAACTCCAGTCATAACTCGAAATGGTCGTAAGTCGAAGCACCATTTCCCATAGGAATGCATTGAAATGCAATTAATCTGTTCTGGTTGAAGAAAAAAAACCCACACACACACCCCAAAAAAACACTGCAAGACCCATCGGAAACACAATTAATCCGTTCCGGCCGAAGGGGAAAAAGAAAAGCAAAAAACAAACCCTCCAAGACCCATCACAGCATAGAAACATAATTGCACCACCCAGCCCAAAACCACGCTTCAAAACCCACCCCGAATAGCTTTTTAAAAGCAGAAAGCAGCACCTCACCTTACCAGGCAGTCTGAAGCCTCCTCCGATCACACTCACTCTAACCGTTGGGGTGAAAGAGCTACAAAGAAGCTGCCTCTTTGCCACCAACGGTTAGCAATTTGAATTCCCTGCCTTTTTTCCCTGCCTTTTTCTGTTTGTAACTGGAAGCTCCAGCCGCAAGTCAGAGCAAAAATTTTGCAGTCGGAGCTGGTCGTAACTCGAAATGGTTGTATGTCGGGACATTTGTAAGCCGAGGCACCACTGTATCTTCTATTTCTAGTTTTTATGGGGAATGCAAAAATGGGTTGTGACTTTCATAAAAGTCCACCAGGTACAGCTTTCCTTGGTCCTAAATATTGTAAAGCACAAATTGTTTGAAAAACTCACATGATGCCTGGTTGTTGTAAAGTAATAGAAATGGGAAACATGGAATTAATGAAGCAGAAAGAACCAAGTCTCCACAGCACACTGCATTAAGTGTCCATGCTTAACTATTTGAACTGGAAATAATAACATAGGAAAAATCTGGGTTGTTTTCATGAAGTTTTCACAACGTTTGATAGGAGCTGCATTAGTTCTATAAAACACAAAGTATGATCTGCACTTAGGATTAGCCATGAAAAGGTATTCTCTGTTACAGGTTGCTGAGCTGGAACAAAAACTAAAACAACAATGCAAAGTTGATTTTGAAGTGAAAATTTATCCTGGACAAACCCATGGTTTTGTACATCGCAAGAATGAAGATATTAATCCTCAAGATAAACCTTATATTGAAGAAGGAAGGAGAGACATTCTGAACTGGCTGCATAGATACATGTAAAGGATCTGTGTAATAAATAAAAATGTCAGTAGCCACAAAGAAATTAGCCCTAAGCACCTACTCTTCAAATTTCCTTAATGAATAATTGTAATTTAACCCTAGCGTTTGAATACATTTGACCCTAGTGCATGCCTTTTTTCAACTGTGCAGGCCAGGTACATAAAACACACCCTCTCCCACACACAAACAATATGGCCACAGTCCAAACTATTGGTAGCCATGCCCTCTATGTATGAGCCCTGTTCATTTCCTGTGTTCCCAAGTACTTTCATGCTTATTATTATCTTTCCAAAGCACCAACAGACTTAAGTTGTGTTCCTGATCCTGCTACCACTTCTAGTCCAGCCCACCATCAATTACTTGCATCCTGCTCCCTTGCCATTAACTCTTCCTAGTCCTGTGCCACCAACACTATTAAGCAAACAAGCAGTGGTGGAGCCAGCTAGATATTTTTCTTAAGCAGAACTGGTCTGGTGTCACTGCCTACAACCAGTCCCAAGGGGTAACAGGGAGAGGCTCATACAGTACCTCTGCAAATTTCAGATTATGGTGCTGTGTACAACTACCAAATGCACCCTGCTATAGTGTCCAGCATGACACAATCCACTGATGATCAAAACCAATGAATAAATGGTGTTAAATAAATCTGCTAGGGCCAGAAAAACTGGCTCCTTCCTTTGCAGCTCATTCATTCCTCCAGCATAGGAGTCGGATGTCACCAAACTGACTTGATTTTTTTTTTTTTACAGATACATTGCAGTCTTTATTGTAGGTGACAGTGGGCCTAAGAGACAAATGCTGCGATGCAGGCATAGGAGGTTTCTGTAACTTCTTATTCATATGTAAAAGCTTAGAATAAAAGAGAAACCAGAAGTCTTGTAGCACTTTTTTTTCCTTTTTTAAAATTTGAACATATAAATCTATCAGCTACAAACAAATGTGCAATATAAGATAAAATAGAAAAAAGAGAAAGAAATGAGAGAGAAAAAAAGAAAAAAAATCCCCCCACCCCTTTGAGGACAGAGATTCAGACCTCATTGAGTCCCATATTTCCCAATTTTCCAGAGAGCATTGAAGGAAAAAAAAACATCAATCAATTTGTCCTATCCTTTGGTCTGTCCCTGGGCCCAAACATATATTAAGTTCCAACTTTGTTTTGCATGGTCCCTTGGTTGTTCTCGTAGTGCTTCTGAGAGTGTATCTAGTTCTGTAATATACAACAGCTTCTTCAGGAACTCCTCCATTGTAGGTATGTCTTCACTTTTCCTTTTTCAGGCCCAGAGTAACCTAGCCGCTATAAATATGTACATCAAACAATATTTGATTTTCTTGTCAGTAATTTCTGGCATAATATTTAGTAGTGCTATCTCAGGTTTGAAATTTAATTTCTTTTGCATGATCCCTTTTATTATTTCCCACAGCTGTAACCAATAACCCCTGGCTTTTTCACATGTCCACCACATATGATAATACGTTCCTACTTTCTTTTTTTTTTACATTTCCAAAAGATATTGCTGCCACCCTCTGACATTTTTGCCAGTTTTGCAGGGGTGTGGTGCCATCTGTAAAACATTTTGAGGATATTTTCTCTTAGGTTTACCGGCTTAATCATTTTATAACAATCTTTCCACATTATTGTCCAGTGACCAATATCAATATTATAACCAAAGTTATTTGCCCATTTTATCATTGTCTCCTTTACTCTCTCATTCTCCAGCTCATATTCCAAAAAGTATGTGTACATTTTCTTTAGTATTTTCTCATCAGTATGGATTCACAGTTTGTCCACCTGGACTTCACCCTCAAAAAAGCCCATGTTTTTATCTTTTTAAAATCTTGATTCTAGTTTATTCATTGACCACCAATCTGTTGCCACCCCTAGCTCCTCTAATTCTTGCTTATTTTTTTATATTTTGTTCTCTGTTGAGTAATTCTTTATAAGTTAGTAACATTCCTTTCTGATTCAATACTATCAACGTAAAGGCTTCTATAGGAGCTACCCATATTGGAATTTTCTTGTATGTTTGTGCTTGAAATTTATGCCACACTAGACCCAATGCTCTCCTTATAACATGTTCCGTAAAGTGTGATTGTTCCTTATATTTCCCATACCACACATATGCATGCCAGTTCATACTTAAGTCATGCCCCTCTAGTTTCATTAGTCTTTGGTTTACAAGAGTTATCCATTCTTTTATACATGTCATAGAACACGCCTTATAATATAATAACCAGTTTGGTAGTTCTGCACCCCCCCCTTTCTTTCAAATCCTGTAATAGCTTAAGTTGAAGTCTTGTAGCACATTTAAGATAACCTTGTTTTTGTTTCTCACAAGCTTTTGTGTGTTCCAGCGTACTTCTGATTTCTCTTGTGCCCCACTAAACAGAGATACCAGCTAGATTACTTTACCAAAACATGTTCTTTAATTGTATTGGCTACGTGCCCAAAAGTTATAATTTCTGTTCTCAGTTTTCTGTGCTGATTCTTTTAATGAATAAAGCTTTAAAATGATGGGTGTGGATATCTATGGGATATCTATGGGAATTGACTGTTGTGTGTTTTTAAAAGCTATGAATTTAAGTCCCATTATAAGCATTCGTAGATGAGCCTGGTGTAGTTGTGACTTCTTTGGAATCTTCTAAAACCAAGGTTGGATGTCTTCTGTACACCCTGAAATCATGCACATTCCTATTTTATATCTTTATATATCTCTAGCACATATGTGAGTAATCTGTGGCCCTCCAGATAAGGTTGGAGTTCCATCATTCCTAATCAAATGATCCAGTGAGGACAGATGGTAAGAGCAACATCTGGAGGATCACATGTTCCCCATCCCTTATTAACACAATTTTGGTCACTAAGCCCTGATGAAAAGTACTGATACAGTCACAATGGTGTATTCTGATAAAGTGTAGACAGTCATAGTGGTTTGTCTGATGTCAGAAGTTGAGTTCTACATTGAGTTGAAATTTTGTGTCTTGATGGATCTTGGCATCCTCATAGTTATCAGATAATTACATCTGACATAAAAATATTATGAATTTATTCAAAGCTTCTTTTGAAACATGTTTTCTATTTTTATTAGCTCTAATCAGGATAGTTTGTTGACTACACTAAGATATCTCTGCAATATGTCAGTCTGAAAGAGAGCAAAATCCTCTGTCAGTATGTGGGTATACAATTTTTCCCCTGTTAGGGATGACTCAGAGATTGCAATCTTCTTTCTTTAATCCAGTAGTAAGATCACGATGCAGTATTGACATACAGAACAACACAAGAGGTATTTTAATTCCAATGAAATAATGACAGCTTAACTCTGATTAGTAAAATCAGATAGATTGACGATTGTTCATTACACAAAATGTTCCTGAATTATTTCACCCTACTTCTTTTTATACCATTTTGAGTATCTCTAGTATGTGCTCAGTGCCAGACTATCAAGTAACTGTCAATTACCCAATAAGGTGGAAAATATATTTATCACACATTGCCCATCTTCAGAACATATTAATATGTTTGTTCTCCAGATAGTTTCTTATGTACCTGCAACTCAGGAAATTCTATTGATTAAGACTGCTACTTTCACAGCTCTTGGCTTGATTATTATGTGGACCTCTTTGTTGGAAGGCCACTGAGTCAAGGCCCGTTGCTGGATTCAGGTCATTCCTGGGCACAGTTTGTATTAGATTCTGTCACTACATAGCTGGATAACTTATTTTTGTTATAGTGGAAGCTGAGAACTTTACTTTTTTTAGTATATCTTGTCAATCTAGGTAGTACAGTACTGTTTTCCGTCAATGCCGGAAGCTCTTTTTTTGGAATGAGTGGATAGGGATAGCAATAAAATTATATAACAATTTATTTTGCAGGTGGAAGGGGCATTAAGCAAGATCCTTTGGGGATTGAAACACTCTCTTTCCACAAATAGGGTCCCCTTGAGGAATTCTGGGAGCAGAATTTCAAGAGCTAACAAATCTGATGCAATTCAAGCTATCAACAGCGGGCATGCCGCTACAGCCTGCACCAGAGGGACTTGTTTGTATTTCTTTCATCCTCTTGTGTTCTAGTAGATGAACTTGGCTGAGAAGTTTTGATTAGCACATAAGCTCTCTGCTGATGGATCTGTTGGGCCAATGCCATGTCAAATCCTGTAAGTTGCAACTAACCCCGTTGTGACCCTATGTAATTCTGACTCAAGTGCTTTCTGCTCACCTGCCTCTGTGCTCAATCCTGATTGTCATTGTTGGTACAAATAAATGCAAATTATTGACTCAGTTTGACAGTGCATGCAAGATGTTGACTTCATCAAAGAAGCCAGGTGACTTTCTCTCTGTCTCACTTTCTTCACCAAGAAGAAGACAATGCACAAAACTATCTTTTCTATGCAACTTCCTGCTTCCTGGATTGCTGTCAACTGTGAGGAAGTTTACTTCCTTGGGAAATTAATGATATTTATTAAAATGGCAATCTCTCTTTCGGTATAAGTGCCAGCGGTATCTGCCGTGATGGAAAATGCACAGGGAGTAGTGACATGGTTAACATAGTTGGCTAGTAAATGTGCTGGGTATAAAACAAAATATCACATCATTCCATTGTGATTGAACAGTGTTAATTAAGGTTATTGTTAAATTATAATTGCAAACATTTATTTATTTATTTATTTATTTATTTATTTACAATATTTTTAGCCGCACCATTGCCAGTGGCTTCTGGGCGGCGTACAACATTAAAACTTAAAAACATTAAAAACATTTTAAGAAACAGTATAAAATACCATATATTAAAATATTTCTTAAAACAATTAAAACATTAAAA